TAAATGTTAGCACAAACTTCTTAATGTTTAGCACAAACTTCAGCTAAATGTTTGGCCAAAATAGCTAATACTTAGTTAAAAGAAGGTTCAGTAAATTGCAAATGTACTTGCATATGCAATTTACTGAATTTATACATATGAAGTATAAAATTATATATACATATATATACATATAGAGAGAGAGACAGAGGGAGAGAGAGAGAGAGAGAGCCTCCACGTAGACCAGAGTAAACACAAATAAAATTAAGAAAGAGGTCAGAGGTCAGCTGCCACCAAGCCCTCTAAGAGGTCAGAGGTCAGCTGCCACCAAGCTCACTCGTCTTCATAATATTAATAGTAATTGAAATTTCCTGCGTTAGTTTCAATTTGTTTATTTAGAAATCCATATCTAAATATCCTGAAACAGGTTCAGCCGTGACCTCTGACATCATATTTCTAAGATCAGTCCAAATCAGTTTATACCTGATTTGATCTTTGATTTTAGCACAAGTTCCTCAAAGATGTTTTTCTCCATAGATCCTCTTTCATTATTCCCTCACCACCCTGCTGCACTGATTACTAAAAAAAAAATCCTTCAGTGGAACAGTGATGGTGTTGTTATACCTCATCCGTCCATAGGAGGGCACTAGGTAGAGCAGAGCGGAGGCTTTTACCCATTAATTCATTTCTTCCTCTTTTTTATTTAAACTGCTGAATCACCTGTTCACGACGAAGAAGAAATAATACCAATTAAATCCACCACTGTTCAGTGTTAATTGGACCAGAACTGTGATTGTTGTGAAAGTATTTGTTTGTTGAAGTACAGTCTGTCAGTACTGCAGTTCTCACTGGGAATGCAGCTATTGTTCCTGGAAGAAGTGAAGGGAATCGACAGACCCATTTATTTCGGTGCTATCAATCTAGGTTAGGCCTTCTGCAGCTGTGTGTGTGTGTGTGTGTGTGTGTGTGTGTGTTTACCGTCGGGTCGGGGAGACACTTTGATTGAGCTCTGCACCGTAAAGCTGTCTGTTTGCCAGACGGTTTGTCTCCTGGCCAGGACTCTGCAGCAGAGAAAGAACACAATGATTATCTGTCACATCGCACAAACCTTCTTCATCAGTCTGACTCGCAAACGACATCGTGAGAGGCTGAGACCACACACTGAATCAACCTCATGACCTTTGGAACTCCACGCCTCTAATTTGTTTTCCTCGTTTTTTGTTATTTTTTTTAATTCACCCTGTTGTCTGTGCTGAAAAAAACAACTGATTTCAGAAGTTTACCGAGTTTTGATACGATGTAATTGTCAGGCCTGCAGAAGCATGATGTGTGTGTGTGTGTGTGTGTGTGTGTGTGTGGGCCAAACAATAATATTCAGACAGCAGGGTGAGAGGAATGTCAACAACCTTTAACCTATTGACTCATTAATGTGTGAGTGTTGTGGTGGTGGTGGGGTAATTGCTGTGTCTGTGTGTGTGTGTGTCTGTGTGTCTGTGTGTGTGTGTGTGTGTAGTGTCGCATCAGACATGATTTATCATGTATTAGTGAACACAAAGAGAGGAGGGGGACAAGGCTGTAAAAAAGCCCCGGGGCGTGGGGTCAGGTCAAAGATCATGAAAGGTCAGAGTGCTGAGTGGATATCAAAGAGCACCCAGGGAGCTGGATATGACCCACAAGGGCCACATATGACCCACCAGGGTCTGGGCTGGGTCACATGTAGGCTACCAGGGGCCCACTGGTCAGGCTGTTGTATGTAAACATAGTCTTTGATGAAGGACATGGTTGTGGGTGGGGGGGGAGAGGGAGGGGCTTCAGTGATGCCTTGCTCTACTTTACTGATTTGCTGTAAACGTTAAGGACATTCGTAAGGACCGCGTGTTGCTAGCTTTTGATTTTTGTTTGCTGTTCAAAATATAAAATATTGAATAATTCCCATGCCGTTTTTGTTAGCCTATTAGCTAACAGCTTAGCTTTTTAAGGTTAGTTACTTTATCATTTGTAGCATAGCGTCCATTTGTGACAAATTTTGACTTTTTTTGCTTCATAACAGTTAACAGTGGCTAATATCTTGCTAGTCAATTAGCTTATGTTCAGATATTGTTTTGTTGTTTTGTGTTTTTGTTTACAAACTTTTGTGTTTTATCTATTAACATTTAGCTTAGCCTTAGCCTCTTGGTCAGCCTTTAGCGTTGAATTGGAACCGCTAACCTAAAGCAACATTTCACTTTTTTTTCAGGTTCACATTAGGATATGTTAATTAAGCATCAGCCAGTCTACAGGCCATTGTATGTTAACACAGAAAACAGTTGAAGAGAAGACAAATGGGGGTGGAGTGTAA